GTGTTTGGCAGGAGGAGGGGGGGCGCACACCACGCTCACGGCGGCAGTTCTCGCGCGGGCATCGGCGGAGAGGGGCACAGGAGCCCGCGCGACGGCACCCACAGTTGCGCAGCGCTGCTCTGTCCACCACGACCTTCATGTGCAAACCCACCCTAACAACAGCAACAACAACAACAAACAGATACACGAGCAGCAACAAACAAACAAACAACCAAACAAACAACAAACCAAACAATGCTAACCCACTATCGTGGTACCAGCGGTGCCCGCAGCAGGATCGACCAACGCGCCCTCGGCCTCGCTTATCGTGACAGCACGGGGTGCATGGCCACTGCGACAGCGCGTGACTGATGTCCACGCGCCAGCATGAAGATGCATCGTGCATCAAGTGTCTCCTGTGTGGCAGCCCTCTATCCAGATGGGGCGTTGTAGAAAAGGATCTGCCTTCGAAGCGTATCGACGGGGTGGCATCCCGTCCTCGGCGGAAGCGGAACGAGGGCGGCTCCGCTGGCAGAAGCCAGCGGACGTTCGGCGCAAGCCAGCGCAATCAAAAATACGCAGGCATTCCAGGAATCGATATCTGAGCATGGGCACCGAGGGTTTCTGGAGCCGCTCGGATGGGGCTCGGTTCTTGGTCGATTCTTTGCTGGATTCCGCGAGTGCTGCGGCATAAGTTTGGAAAGACAGGGGCGTCGTTCCTTATGGTCGGCCCGTTGTAGTAGGTCGACCCTGCCAAATCCAGGATACTCCTGTGTCCTGTGTCTCGCGACCCAGGCTTCCTACATTCCTGTGGCAATGTGGCCCTCGGAAGGGTCTTGTGCCCTCTCGCGTGTCCTGTCCAATCGAGTCTGACTGTACGCGAGGTTCCTTGCATCAGGCCCCCGGAGACCAGGACAAAGATAGACCAGGACACGGAAAACCATGGAAACGACATCTTTTCCTGCAAAGTCACGTTTTTCAGCACCCGTGCATGTTTTGTTTGCTGCACTGCAGGATTCGGGTTTGTGTCCGGGTTCAGGGGTGTCTTGCAGGCTTTGGGGGCCTGTGTCCGGGTTTATTATTGAAATGCTGCAGTGCAGTACTTTGTTCGTGCCGCCGTTTGGAAAAATTGGTTTCGAGGGACGTTGGGTGTCCGGGTCTAGCGTGTCTGGGTCTACGGGGCCCTGATTGCAGCGTCTTGCAAGACCTGCGGGCTGGCGACAAGGTCCTTTTCTCTGCTCCTGCCGGCGGCCGGCGGCCTGCTGGCGCGGCCCCGGGCGCCGTGTCCGAGCCGCCGCGTTCCAAGACGGCTGGCGGCGTGCCCCCCCCCAGGGGGCAGGCCCTCGCAAGAGTTGAGTCGGGCCTGTCCCTCTACAGGAGGGATGTTCAAAAACAGTAAGAGAACAGTCTGAGGACGAACTTTTGACTATTTTTCAGCATTCGGGGCGTTTTTTTCTTAGTTTGTTTTTTAAATGAAAAACAAAAAAAACGCCCCAGACCCCCCTGTAGGGGGACAGGCCCGACCCCTAACACAGGTGCTGTGGAGGTCGGTGGGCTCCACGCCGGCCCGCCTCTCCAGGCAGGCGCCTCGCCCCGCGGGCCCAGGCCCTCGGCTCCGCAGCGCTCTGGCCGCTGCGGCCAGCGGGAGTGGCGCGAGGGGCGCGCCCTGCAGATGGCGGCTGGAGCCGGCGGCCCAGCTCGGCAGTGCACGTGCGCTCCCCTCGTCCTCGGCAGCCAGCTCGGCGGTGCAGCTCGGCAGCTGCACCGCAGCTGCCGCAGCTGCACGTGCACGTGCCCTCGGTCCAGCTCGGCAGCTCGGCAGTGCACTTGCGCTCCCCCCCCGTCCAGGCGCGAGCGGAGCTGAAGGGCGACGGCTGCCCCCCACGGGTTGCAGTCGGCGCTGCGGGTGACTTCTCTCGCACGGCGCGGTGGCGACACTGCGCGCGCTTGGTCGCCCACGGCGGAGGGCTCTGGCTGCAGACGCTGCCCGGCCCGGCGAGGGCGCGCCCAGCAGGTCCGCGAGGGGTATCCGCTGGCCTGTACCTCGCCCGCTCCTCCCTAGCCTTCCTCCTGCCCACCTCCCCACCCCTCCTGGGCCCTCTCCTCCTCCTCCTCCTCCTCCTCCTCCTCCTCCTCCTCCTCCTCCTCCTCCTCCTCCTCGTCCTCGTCCTCGTCCTCGTCCTCCCCATCCCCCTCCCCCTCCTCCCTCATCCTCCTCATCCTCCTCCTCCTCCTTTGCCTTTTTCCTCTTCCTTTTCCTTTTCCTTCTCCTTCTCCTTCTCCTCCTCCTCCTCCTCCTCCTCCCCTCCTCCTCCTCCTCCTCCTCCTCTTCCTCCCAACGACTCCTTCTCCTGCTCTTCCTCAGCAGCCCTACACCCTCTCTCTCTCTCTCTCTCCTCTTCACTCCTGTCCCCCGGATCTCCTGCTCCTGCTCCCGGGCATCCCCCTCGCTCCTCCCCGGAGGTCCTACCTCGACACGGCGCGCTTCCCCGCCGACCGGTGCGTGCTGCTGCGGTACGAGGACCCGCTTGCCCTCCATCAGAGCGTGAATTACCTACCCCTCCTCCTCCTCGTCCTCCTCCTCCTCCTCCTCCTCCTCCTCCTCCTCCCTCCTCCTCCCCCCCTCCTCCTCCTCCTCCTCCTCCTCCTCCTCCCCCTCCTCCTCCTCAGGCAAAACCAAGTCATACCATACGCCTCCTCGTCAAGCGGCCTGACCAGTACATGCCGTAGTTTGGCATCGCTTGGTGTCTCTTGGAGGCGAGGGTGGTCAAAAGCGAGGTAGGTTCGTTTGCCCCCTGCTCCAGGTGATAACCAAGGGGGTCGGAGAAGATCGGCGGACGGGGAGGCACAAATGATCAGGCAGGGCAGGACCTAAACGGTGTTCTGGCGATTTCGTGGGCCGCTGTCGTACGGACATCGTTTTTGTTCGGCAGAGGCGGATTGGAGACAAGACGAGGGAAAACGAACACCGAACGAAAACGAAAAGCGCCGTTCAGGTTCAGCCCTGTGATCAGGAAGAGGGAAGAGGTGGAGGGCGGAGGGCGGAGGGGCAGGCGGCCGAGTAGGGTCACGGAGAGGCGGAGCACAGCATGGGATGGAGAGAAGGCAGAGGTCGCAGGCCTGGAGGTTGACACCAGCACCAACATTCGGCGGTGCGCCTCCACCGAGGGAAGAGCGTTCCGATCTCGGTGATGGTGGTGATCTTCTGGCTTCCCAAGGTGGCCGAAGTGTTACCACCAACACCGAAATCTGGGATCATCTTCCCCTCGTGGAGGCAGCCCCCCTTGTGCTGGTGTTGGTGCCCATTTCCAGGCCTCCAACAAAGGAGGAGAAGGAGGTGGACGCGCACGTATGAGGAAGGTATGATGAAGGATTATGTACTCCCTGTTGCACTGCTGTTGTTGCTGCCAGCTTCGACCGAGCTTAGCGGCATCGGGATCTCCCCACATCGAATCGCAAAACCCGAGGAGCCGATTCGACCGTAGGAGGCGGGGGGAGAGTAGGACGTTGGCCCCGTTGGGCTAGAGGAATGAGAAGAGGAGGAGGAGGAGGAGTGGATGCGCGATCAAACCTCTGCGTCACAATTGTTTCATTCATGTTCCTGCAGTGCAGTGTTGTTTCGCTTTGCGCCTCTCTGACTGGCTGTCTTGTGCCCCAGGTCGCCGATTGCCTTTTGCGCTAGTATGCCAGTCGTGGGCCTAAAAGCGCCGTTAGGGGTACAAGGGGGGCAGTAGCACGAGCAGGGAAAGCAGCATGAGCACCATTGTGTGACATGTGTTGTTCTTATTTGCTCAGATACGTAATGCTCAATGTGTCTATCAATGCTGCTGTGCAGGTCCAGTGTAGCATAAGTCAGTTGTGCACAGGGAAAGAGACCACAAAAGTAGAGAACGAAGAGGGACATAGAGGGAGAGAGCAAGAGAGCGAGAGAGATGATGATGCAGATTCACATGTGAATACATGTGTGTAGAGAAGCGTCTGCGTGTATGTACGTCTAGAAAGAGAGATAGAGAGAGAGGAAGCAGAGAGAGAGAGAGAGAGAGACGGCCGTGGGAGCGAGGGCTCCCGCATCCGCTTGGTTCAAGAATTGCCGCACGCACGGGGATGAAAAGCCGTGCACTCGGAATTCCTCACAGAAGGACTATGATTGGGCCGCTTGTGGGGTCGAAGGGTAAGATCGACCCGCACGGTAAGGATGTGCAACCGTCCCAAGGGCACTCCAGATTTCGTAATAAAAGGGAGGGGGTCTGGACCCTCCAAGACAAGCCATTTCAGACCCCCCCTCGTGGGAGAACCCTCCAAAACATCGTCCCCAGACCCCCCCCAGGCCCTCCAAGATGGCCTGGAAGAGACCCCCCCCGAAATGAGACCCCCCCCCTCTCTTTATTACGAAATCTGGGGTACCCGTGCATCATTTGCCTCCTCGGCCCATGCCTTGGCCGCTTTCGTATGGGCGCGGCCCGCTCGAGAAAAGCTTCGAGCTGGGCGTCCAAGGCCCTTGAGTCCTTGTCGCGCATCCTTATGATACGGGCCGACTGTAATGGTGGGGAAGGCAGGGGGAGGAGGAGGAGGAGGAGGAGGAGGAGGAGGAGGAGGAGGAGGAGGAGGGAGGAGGAGGAGGAGGAGGGGAGGAGGAGGAGGAGCAGGAGGAGGAGAGAGGGAGGAGGGGGGGGGGAGGAGGAGGTTGGCCAGGAGCTCCGGCGGGGTCTCGGCCTCCACCGCGCCCTGCAGGTCCGTCCGGCGGCGGCTCGTGCTCGGCCTCGGGGGAGCCGTACCTGCGGCGGGGGGGGGGGGCGGGGGGCGGGGGGGGGGCGGTTTGCGGACGCCTGCCAATATTACCGTCCGACGCAGCCTCATTGGAGGAGCAGGCGGCGTTGGTGGGGTTGGTGGTATGGCAAGGACACGAGCCATGGCGAATGGCGCGACTTGCGGGCGCCTGCCGCGGTCTGTCCTTGCCTCCTTGGGAGGGGCAAGCGGTGTTGTTCTTGGACCGGCGTGTTGAGCCGAAGGCCGCTGGAAAAGTTCTGGGCGGCGCACAAACACGGGGTCGACAGCGCCGACACTGCAAGCTGCCCGCGGAAGGTCGCGCGTAAGCGCCCTCGTCTCCAATGCAGCGTGCCGCGCGGGCGGCCCGCGCAAGCCACCGCGTGAGGGCGATACGTCATCGCGCGTAGGACCCCGCTCTGATCGTCGCTCAGTTGGGCGGGCCGAGAACAGATCAGTCCTGGCACGGCAGCTGGGGGGGGCGGTGGATCTGGGTGGTCTTCGGACCTGCTCAGATTGTGCCCGTGGCCACCAGTTTACAACAGCGACGGCTCCCGCCTGATACTGCCTGGCAGTATATTTCAATATCGCACTCTGGCGCGGGACTTCCCCACAATGTGAGCAGGAATCGCGCTCTCTCGTGGGATTTCCTTGCACTTTACCGAGACGCCGCGCCCTCGACTCTCAGGAATCACGCTCTCGCTCTGACCTTCCCCACGATTTACTTTGGAGTATTGCTATCGCTCGAGACCTCTTCGCGATTCGTGAAGGACTCACGCTTCAGCAACCCGCCTGCTCGGCCTGGCCGCCTGGGCCCGCCGTCCCGCCCCACCCGTGAGGGGCAACCCGCCCGATGTGCCCGTCTGGTTATGCCACGTGGTTTCTGCTCCTGGATCCCCTCCAACTAATGTCTCTCGTGCACCATCCTTATCCCTCCCCTTTCCATCCGTTCTCTCTTCCCCTGTTTCAGGGTCTGCGCTAAATGCACGTGGCACGTGAGGGAGAGATACCCCTAAGGGGGTACGATCGAAGACGAAGAGGTCGGGTACCGAGGTCTTGGGGTACGCATGTTGCATGGCACGCGGGCAGATGGGAGCGAACTGTCTCAAAATGATTGTTGTTATGATGTTTGTTGCTGCTGTTGCTGTTGTTGTTGTTTGTGGTGTTGTGTTCACCGTCAAGAAAGTATGGTTGATCCCCCGCCCTCTGGTGTACCATGTGTTTTTTCGCTTCGAGCGTTTGCCCGGGGCTCGCACTTTGATGTTTTTTTACAAGGGAATGACTTGGGGCTCAGATTGCGCCCTTGACCCCCGGCTTACAACAATAACGGCCCCCGCCCAATATTTCTTCATGATGTATTTCAGCATCGCACTCTGGCGCGGGATTCCTTCACAATGTATGCAGGAATCGCGCTCTCTCGTGGGATTTCCTTGCACTTTACTTAGACGCCGCGCCCTCGACACAGCAACCATGCTCTTGCTCTACTTTGGAGTATTGCTATCGTTCGAGGCCTCTCCGCGATGCATGCAGGACTCATTCAGCAACCCGCCTGCTCGGGTTTCTGCTTCTGGGTCCCCTCCAACTACCCTCTCTCGTGCACCATCCTTATCACTCCCCTTTCCATCCGTCATCTCTTCCCCTGTTTCAGGGCCTGCGCTAAATACACGTGGTACGTGAGGGAGAGACCCCGAAGGGGGTACGATCGAATGCGAAGAGGTCGGGTACCGAGGGTTTGGGGTATGCGTGTTACATGGCACGCGGGCAGATTGGGAGCGAACTGTCTCAAAATGATTGTTGTTGTGATGTTTGCTGTTGCTGCTGCTGCTGTTGCTGTTGGTGTTGATGTTGTTGTTTGCGGCGTGCTCTTTCATGAAGAAAGTATGGTTGATCCCCCGCCCTCTAGTGCACCATGTGTTTTTTTCACTTCAAGCGCTCCTCCCGGGGCTCGCACCTTGACTTTTTAGAAGAGAGTGATTTGGGGCTCAGATTGCGCCCCTGACCCCCGGCTTACAACAATCACGGCCCCCACCCAATATTTCCTCATGATGCATTTCAACATCGCACTCTGGCGCGGGATTCCCTCACATTGTATGCAGGAATCGCGCTCTCTCGTGGGATTTCCTTGCACTTTACTCAGACGCCGCGCCCTCGACTCAGGAATCACGCTAGTGCTCTGACCTTTCCGACGATGTACTTTGGAATGTTGCTATCGTTTGAGGCCTCTCCGCGATTCATGCAGGACTCAGTCAGCAACCCGCCTGAACGACCTGATCGCCTGGGCCCGATTTGCCGACCCGCCCTCTAGGGTCTACCCGTCCGATCTGCCCGTCTGGTCACGCCATGTGGTTTCTGCTCCTAGCCCCCCTGCAACTCAACTAATCTCTCTCGTGCACCATCCTTATCCCTCCCCCTTCCCTCCGTTCTCTCTTCCCCTGTTTCAGGGTCTGCGCTGAATACACGTGGCACGTGAGGGAGATATACCCCTAAGGGGGTACGATCGAATGCGAAGAGGTCGGGTACCGAGGGCGTGGGATGTGCGTGTTGAATGGCACGCGGGCAAATAGGAGTGAGCAGTTTTAAAATGATTGGTGGTGCGATTGATTGTTGCTGCTGCTGCGGGTGTTGTTCATGGTGTTGTTTTCTCATGTATAAAGGATAATTGTGGTTGATTCCCCGCCCTCCCGTACACCATGTGTTTCTTCAAGTCAATTGTTCCTCCCGGGGCCCCCTGGCTTACAACAACAACGGTTCCCGCCC